CGAGACGAACAGCTTCAAACTCAAGTTCAGGTTGCGGAGCTGAACCATCCACAACATGTACCTTTACACCACAAAAGAGAGGCTCCTCTAAGATATCAAGAAAACAAAGTATAAAGATTGAATCTAAAGATGGTTGTTTTACCAGTGCTGAACATCTCTCAGTGTGCCGAAGAAACTCATGGCCTAAACCAAAGCCTCTGTGCGCTCCTTCGAGCAAACCAGGAAGATCTGCGACCACCATTGTTGAATCGTAATCAAATGAAACCACACCTAAATTGGGAAGTAATGTGGTGAATGGGTAATTTGCTATGGTTGGCTGCGCAGCACTTATCACGCTCAATAACGTGCTTTTTCCTGCATTTGGAGCACCCACGATACCTACGTCTGCTACCAGTTTAAGTTCCAAGTCCAGCCACCTATAGGAATATGTAAAGTTATAATTCAGAATCACAGCTTCCCAGAAAGAAAAAAACCCGAAACATAAGAGCCACATATGACATTTCTTAGAAAGGCAAACACAAAGTCTCACAAGTCTACACCAGCATGAAATTGTTGGATACTTAATCCAATATAAAGATAACACAGAAGTTCAATTCCATTCTTGAAGCAATAACTGCTCTGTATCAACAGGTTACTACTTGCAAGTCCACACTCACATATACAAAATCAAGCTTTACAAAACAATAGAAAGAGTTTCATGTTCCTACACCAAATGAAATCCTAGCATCCTTAGCAATTTTGCTTTTATGATTAGTTCATCCCTTGCATAGCTAACACATGAGGGTGGAAAAGGAACCATTTCAGATAATCTACCACTAGCAGTGCGTTGAAGTCCCAAAATTTACACAATGTTCCATCAACACCCTAAAGTGAATCAACTCAATGACAAAAACACTTACATTTCAGGACCTTCTTCGCCATTTTCAGCGATCCTAGGAACTTTATTCATCCCCGACTTAAATGAAGCATTCCCTCGTCCACCTCTACCTCCAGGCAACAACAATGCCCTCTGTCCCGGATGCAACAACTCCAAAAGCACTTCCTTCTCCTCCTCCTCCTCACCCTCCACCTCACTCCCAACCTCTCTAGCCTGTCTCACCACCGTCCCAGGAGCCACTTTCACCACAACACTATCTCCTTTAGCTCCACTCTGCATCTTCCCTCTCCCATGTTCCCCACGTCCCGCCCTGAAATGCACACTCTTACGAAAGGGTAACAACGAATTCATGGACCCATCAACCTCTACATACACATTCCCTCCTCTCCCTCCATCTCCACCTGAAGGTCCTCCAAAAGGAACAAACTTTTCTCTCCTAAACGCCACCACACCGTTCCCTCCATCTCCAGCTTTAACAAATATCTTCGCTCTATCGAAACACCGCATTACCGCTGGAACCCCTTTCTCCTTCACCCCAATTTCATCATCTTCCTCTTCCTCTCCCTCTTCACCCGAGAAACATAAAACTTTCTCATCCTTCAATCCCGATCCTTCACTCTCATCCGTATCATCACCATACTCAAACACTTCATCTTCCCAATCTTCATCATCTTCGTCAATTGATCCTGAATTACCTTCAAATACATCTAATCTCCTATAATTTCCCCATATATCATCATCATCATAACTCTTCACCTCTTTTTCTTTCTCTTCTTCCTCAATTTCCACCAAATTTTCAACTTTTTCCTCGACCCTTGGGACATTTGACTCAGATAACTTCACTTCTTCAGAAACTTTTAAGTAAGAAGAAGACAATAGAGAGACATCGGAGAAATCTTCCCTGGGGGGAAGACGGGTATAAGTAGTAGCTTCGCCGCCGGCGTCCGAAATTGGCTGGAGTTTATCGCCCCCTCGAGATTTAAGCTCCACTTCGCGTTTGAGCTTCGTTTTTCTAAGGTTTTTGGTTTTTCCTGAGACATTGTCAGGTTTAGCGAAAATCTTCCTCGTTCTGGTGGGTCGGGCTAACGCTTGAGGAGTGAAGAAACTGTTAATGGATATGGAAGCCATTTGTTTCTCTGAAGAAACTATCTAACGGGACGGGACTTTATGTTACCCATTTTGTACTAAATTATGATTTTTTAATAGTTTTCGTAAAGTGATGAAAAGTAATATAAACATGAGGACTTATGTTGCAAAAAAAAGAGAAACTTTGGTTACCTTTGAAGTTTGAAGCTTGGATCTCGCCAGAGCTTGAGAGAGGGAGAGAGAGAAGAGAGAAAGGGGGTGCTCTAGGGTTTCTGCAGTTTCTGGTTCAGTCTCACCTTCCTCTCTAAGGGTTTAATCTCTCCCTGCTTCATTTGGTAGCTCATATTTTCCGTTGAGGATTGTGACGATCTGTGAGATTAAACAAAATGTATAGCGGATCTAGCGACGGTGAGAGTCACGATACATCGACGCAGAGGAAGATTCCGCCGGCATCATCGATGCTTTGGGTTAGAAATCTACGACGGTATATTGGTTCCGGCGCCGGATTAGGATCGGAAGCTCTAATGGGTAAGGTTCTTTTTGCTGGTAGCTGCGTTTTGGTTGTTGAGACAGTCTGTATTTTTTATCTTTTAGCTTAAGATGATGTCATCAATTCTGGAAATTTTGAATTTTTAATCGCATTTCGAGTTCGATATGAGTAAAGTTTCTGAATTTGGGGACGTTGGAGAAAATGTACATTTGTCTATGTAGTGAAACAATATGGTAACTGTGATTGAGTCTTGGTTTTGCTGAGTTTAATAAGGGTTTGTGTTCATTTGTTTTGCAGAGCTTGAAACGAAGAGAATCTTGCTCGAGATATTCAAAGAGAAGCAACAGAAAAGCCAAGAAGCAGGCACCATACCGAGCTTCTACAAGAAGGCATGTCCCTTACATCGGTTTTTTTACTCAATATAAAATCTTGCCTTGGTATTTTAAGGCACTACCCGGTTAAAAAATCTTGCATTGTGTTACACCATTCCTAGAAGTTCGTATTTATGTCAGACAATAAGATTTCGTTCCTTTACTCTTGGTTCAGAAACCAGAAGAAGGATCTATTAGTCAAAGGGTACAGAGGCTTGCGAAATACCGTTTCTTGAAGGTATCGAATCTTCATTTTCACAGAGTCTTATTCCTTCGATGTTTTTGCTTACTTCGTCATGTTTGTTAATTTCCACAGAAACAATCAGATCTTTTGTTAAATGCCGATGATTTGGCGGCTATGTGGGTTTGTTTGAGAGAAAATTGTGTGATTGATGATGCCACTGGTGCTGAAAAGGTAGAAGCGTCTTTTGTATAGTGTTGCTCGGGGGCTGAAATTATTTTTATCTGGGTTATCTTTGATGCTGATATTTTTTGCTGTCTTGTCCATGTAGATGAACTATGAAGACTTCTGTCATATTGCCTCTGTATGTACAGAACAAATTGGTCCCAAATGTCGCCGGTTTTTTAGCCCATCCAATTTCATGAAGTTTGAGAAGGATGAGGCTGGGAGGATCGCCATTTTACCATTTTATCTTTATGTGATGCGCACGGTGAGTATCCTTTTTTTATCTTTGCAGTTTTGTTTATTGTGGCTATATATATATATCATCCTGTCGCCATAAGCTTAAATATAGGGAGTTTCGTTGCTGTATTTGAGTGGCGCCAGCTTTGCTTGTCTTGGTTTTTTTTTTTCATGTTTTGTTACTCTGACTTGTCCTATAGTTTATACTTGTTTCAATGACTATATGCTCAATACTATTCAGGTGTCACTTACACAAGCTAGGATTGATATGAGTGAGCTTGACGAAGACTCTGATGGTTTCCTTCAATCTAATGTAAGTACCCAAATGGCCCTAAAGCTTTAATTTTAGAATTGGCTCTAAATGGTGCCGACTCTTATGTCGATTTCCTAACAAAATAGTCTCTTTGATGTTGTCATTATAGGAAATGGAGTCCTACATTGGTGGTCTAATTCCTAATCTGGCACAACTGAGGGACATGCCTCCGGCATTTAATCAAATGTATTGTCGTATAGCTGCACAAAAGTTTTTCTTCTTCTGTGATCCTCACAGGCGAGGTAAGGAAAAAGATGTATTATTATGAGGCAGTGCAAAACTTACTTGACCTAGTATTCAATTGCCATGTGTTAATGTGATCTTTTTTTTTTTTGCATTCAGGAAGAGCCTGTATTAAGAAGATACTGCTTAGTAACTGTCTGCAGGAACTAATGGAATTGCATCAGGTAACTTTAGATGAAAGATGAATGGAATACAGCTCCGTCAGCTTATAGCTTTCAACTTTCTGAAGTTACTATATGTTTTGCTTACATTTTCTGATTTTTCCTTGGATATCTTACGTTAGGAAAGCGAGGAGGAGGTTACAGACACTGAACAAGCAGAAAATTGGTTCTCGTTGACTTCAGCTCAACGCATATGTGGTGAGTGTGCTCTGTTGTCTTAATTCCTGCAGATAAATCGGAAACCTTTCTCGTTATTTCTTATTAAGAACTTAAATAAAAGTTAATCCAGAGTTTCTTTTTTTAGATATGTTTCTTGCACTTGATAAAGATATGAGTGGATCGCTGAGCAAGCAAGAACTCAAAGAATATGCTGATGGGACCTTAACCGAGATTTTCATTGAAAGAGGTAAATCAAGCACTTTGGTCAGTGTAGGATTTTTGTAGTATTGATACACATCAATAGTGACTGAGACAAGCTTAATATTGTTTTTGAAGTGGTTGGGTACATTCGTACTTACTAGTTTCCCCTTTGTTTTGTAGTGTTTGATGAGCATGTCCGGCGTGGTAAAAGTGGCGCCAAAAATTCCCGGGAAATGGACTTTGACAGTTTCCTTGATTTTGTTCTTGCTTTGGAGAACAAAGACACCCCAGAGGGTTTGACATATTTATTCCGTTGTCTTGATCTTCAAGGGAGAGGCTTTCTCACTACTGCCGATATTCATTCTCTCTTCAGGTAATGAATCTTAATCCGGCGACTGAGTCTATTTGATTTTTTACTGTTTAGTAGATTTCGTTTAAAGTCATGGAAGTAAAGAAGGGGAGCATCAAAGAGTTTGATGTTATCTGATACAATCTTCCTAAATAAAACTCTGCATTTCCTGCTTGCGGAAGTTGAGTTTTGCTCCGCAAGTCTCACATCTGCAAAGACACTAGTGCATATAAAACACACTGTTGATGTGTGATAATGCCATTGTCTCTCTTTTGAATGAGTGTCTCATATTTTATCTTTTTTACCTGCAGAGATGTTCACCAGAAATGGATAGAAGGTGGGAACTATGAATTATGCATAGAGGATGTTCGGGACGAGATCTGGGACATGGTGAAGCCATCTGACCCGTTAAAGATCACTCTGGGTGATCTCTTGGGATGTAAACAAGGTGGAACCGTTGCGAGTATGCTTATAGATGTTCGAGGCTTCTGGGCTCATGACAACCGCGAGAACCTTCTTCAAGAAGAAGAAGAACCACCTGAGGAAGAGGCTCAGTGATAATGTTATTTCCTGTGACTACCTTAAAAAGCTAATCATTAAGATCAAAAGTTCCCACTAGTGAAAAGTCACATCTCCACTCGTATGTGTGTATCTCTCTGTAAGAAGCTTATTATTAGTTGGCGACGTTTAATGAAAGAAATGGCTGTTTATATTGTTACTTGTCGTGTACTTGGATTCTGATTTGATTGTTGGGATTTTTGAATTCTTCTTCTTTTATACATGATTCACAAAACGTAGACATGGATTTAGGTGTATCTTGAGTATTACAAAAAGGAAGTCTTAAGGTTATTTTGCTGTCTCTGATCTTGTGTTCAGACATGGAAAGGCTTCCTGGGTGTAGCAGCTCTATTTTCCAGAGATTGCAACCTTTGCTTCAGATGAAACACTTCAACCTGCGTTCATCTCAGGTTATTAGAAAAATTGCAGAGTCAAACAGATTAAATCGATAATGATAATGATATTATTACCTGCAACTGGAACGCTCTGGCTCTTTCTCCTGCAAGAACTCCTCTCGTTGAATGCAACTCCTACAAAAACAGGTAACCCACAAAACTTTTAAACTTTGTTCCACCACCACATTTGAAAACACTTGTATATCTACAAGGAGTTTACCTTTTGTGTATCGTCTAGGACAGCTTTTAAGAAGGCAACATCATGCTCGAGCCTGACATTGTCGGAGTGAACCATATTTGACAAACTATTAGCTTCCTCTTGGGCGAGCTCTAACCCGGTAAGCTTCTCCTTAAGCAATTCAACATCTCTCATGGCGTCAGATAGCTTTTTATCCGTCTCTTGTTTGCTCCTCAACGCAACTGACACATTCCTCTCAGCCGCCTCTCTTCCCGCCAATGCTGCTTCTAACTGCCCTTCCAGAATCCCATTTCTTCTTATAAGAGCCGTCATTTTTGCCTCATGGAATTGGTAAACGCTTGATGATGACATTGATCCTGTAAAATTGATATTATCCATTTCCTGGAATATCAAGGCACCATCGACGTTTTCTAAAGGAAATGTTTCAGAGCACTGCTTCTGGAGATTCGATACTTCATGGTCAGAAACCACAGAAAGTGTTTTCTCTGCTGTAATTTTTGCTCCTCCATTGTTGTCATCTGCAGTCTGAAACCATGAGAAGAAATTACATTCGTTTAAGGCAATTCAAGAACACCAGTGAATGTAGGTTAATCATTAACTAAGTATATATACCCGAGGCAGAGAAACTTCATCTTCTGAGCACTTAGTAGGTTCGATTACCGCTCTGTATTCCTCTTCGGTGCTGAACTGTTTACGCAAAGAGACATTTCCTGAAGACGGATTACGATGATCACCAAAAGCAATATCTGATAAAGACCTTCTGCCAGAGCCGCCATGCTCTTCAATGGCTGAAGCAAGTTTCTGTCTGGCAACTGAATCAATGAGCCTCTGTGAAGAGGCTTTGACTGATTCATCAGAGGTTATAGCCGCCGAGGGAGAAGATCGTTTACCAAACAGTAACCGGCCGGGATTTTTCTTGGAAGTTGTCTGCGGATGTGTTGGTGATTCACTCTTGTTCTTGTCAACGATAAAAGCCCCAACCTTTGCATAAACCAGATTAAGACTTTGCATCAAAACACGGGGACATATATAAAAAAAAATGAAACAAAGATGTGAACAATGCAGCGGAATGATAAAGCTCGTACCTGATTTGAAGGATCTTTTTTTGTTCCTCCAAAAGCTACGAGGAAATCTTTATCTTTGTGTTTCAGAAGAACTAGACTAAATCCCTATACCAAACATATCACGAGACAACAACTGAGCTTTAATAGATAGCATGGAAAGATATAAAAGTTTAGTAAAATATAGAATGTGACTTTCTATATTCACCTTGTTGGATGTGATAGAAGATTGAGAAGATATGTTTTCCACAGACCACTCGACCTTTAGAATATCGAAAACTAATGTTTCAGCATGCCCTACACACAAAAAAATGCAAACTTGTAAGATTCGAGTAGATTCAGCGCGATTTCAAGGTTGAACTTACTCTTCTTTCTGCTTCCACCTCCGGTTATATACCATTTGGTACCGCAAAGAACACCACAACTACCCGCTCTTGGAGACGGGTGAAATCCCCTTATCTTTATTCTTGACCATACCATCTTGATGACACCAAAAGAAACAAAAAAAGTGTCAAGAAACCAAAAACAAAATTCAGTTACAGTACAAAGTATGATGGGGGTGGGACGAAAAGTATTACTGTTTCAAAGTCGAGTGAGTACAAGTCATTTAGTGTTTTGTTCTTGCCCGAACCTCCAAACACAAACAGAATTTTGTCATCGAATAGCGTGGCTACATGATGTGATCTTGCACACGGCCGTGTTCCTCTGGTATTCAAAGAAAAACCATGTCAAGAATACACCAGTAGGAGTTCAATGTAAAATGTCATCAGAAAAGCACAAAAAAAACTCACGTGCAATTAAGAGGAAGCCATGTGGATGATTTGAGATCAAACATATGAAGATCGTTTAGTTTCCTCTTCTTAGAGTCTTCACCGCCGAAAAGTATCAATACTGAACTGGCTCTCACTACTGTGTGACCATTACGACTGACCTGCAATGGCATAACTGAATCAGATTTTTTTCTCCACGTCACTTCACAATCCAAACCATAAAGCCACAAGCTTCTAAATGTATACTGATGTCATAGAAACTTACCGGTAAGTCTCCTTTTGCATCCATTAGCGACCAGCATTCAGAATCAGTATCAAACGCCCAAACTGCCAATAATATATACAAATACAACACAATTTTAGGCAGAGCAAACATCAAAAGTCTAGACTTTAGATTCCAAACAACTGTGTGAAACCTGAAACTCTATCACTGCAGGGATCTGTTTTTCCACCCACCAATAGCACTTTTTTACCCCAAGAGACCTAACAACAACGCATAAAAATTGCAATCAAAACCAAAAGGTATAAAACTAAGAAAAGCAGTAACATGCTTAGCTCAAACCAACAATCAATTACCAAGCAATGGCCTTTCCAAGAAGGAATCTTGAGAGGAAGACTACTTGGCGATAAGTAAACTTTCGAAGACGCGGTGGACCATGTAAATGTATCAAAGTTAAGCACCTGCAAATGCAAAGCTGAGAATATCAATCCCTTTAAGCTAGTGCTCGATACCGTTAACTTGTTCTTGGTCTTTTTACCTGTACATCATCCAACAAGCCATTACTAGATTCTCCGCCAACTACTATCATTTTGTTCCCAATAGCTGCCGCCGCATGCTGCATAAAAGTAAAAAGCAGTCAGTTCTTGAAAACACAGATCAGAAGCTGATGACTGGAAGTAAAAAAACAATCAAGAAACTCGTTACATTAAAGCGTGGAGCGGGTTTATCCCCACCAACCGATACCACCATCCAATTTTCAGAATTCCCTGATGAAGGCTGGAAATCATGTTCATCAGAATAACTAGTCGCAGCCACAGGAGCTTCACTCTGCATCATGTTTCTTACAAATCAGATAACTAACAGTTAATGCTACCAAAACACAATTTAAGTATTGCAGTTTCTTCTTATACAACTTACACTAGAGTTATCAGCGCGTTTGATGGTTCGCAAGGGACTCTTATATCCTTGAACAGACTCAGCGAGCTGTACCTTCTTAACTCTGCTCAATAACATCCACAATCAGTGAAGAAAACATAAACCAATTGAATCTATAGGAACCATGAAACGTATTTTTGCATGATTAAAAAATTGCTTCTAACTAAAAATAGAAACCCCAAAATCGAAGATTCAACGGTACTTCATAGGACAGACGAAAGGACCAATACTTGATCCTATAACTAACAACAATAGTTATAAAAAGGAGTTTGCTTTTACAGTAAGCTTAAACAGAATACTCAAAAAAGTGATTCCTAGTTCCTAAATCAATAGTTATTTAGCTTATTAATGTAAACAAAGAAAAAGATAAAGAAACCCCAAAAAGTTCCCAACTTTGAGAAAATCAAATACAGAGAGAGAGACCCACAAAAAGGTAAGAAGCGTAAAAGAAGACTAACCTGCCAAGTCTCATGCGCCTCTTAGAAAAGCTGAACATCTTTTCTTCGAATTTCTCAGAAATCCCCCAGAGAGTAAAAAAAAGAACCCTAAAAAAAAAAGAGTTGCACACAGATTAAAAAAAGGAAAGGTACATTGTCATCATCCCGAGATACCCAATGCAAGAAATTACTGAAATTGTAGAAGAAGATACCTTGCTAACTTGTTGTGAATCTAAGATTCAGAAGTTTACAAGCTGACCCAAATCTGAAACTCAAAAAAAAAATTAATTTGTTTAGAGAGGATCAACAACCACTACAATGGCCGTATCATATGTATCCACAAGCTCGAAAACGACGTCGTACTAAATCCGAGCAAGCTGTCTTGGGGCCAGAGCAGGGAAATGATTGGAGGGGAAGAATTGATTTAGCTTACGAAAGCATATATAAATTTGTTAACTTCAAGCAATAATAACAACGAGACCAAGTTATTTAGTAAACAAAAAGAAGAAGAGCAAATCTTGTAATGTATTGTATTGTATTGTGATCTGAGCTTTACTTACTAACTTATTAGCCGTTCGAGAGAGAGAGAGAGAGAGATGGGAACAACCGCTGTTGTGTCATGTGTATGTGTGGGTGTGGTTTTTGGTTCGTTGAGTTATGGCGACATGTTTTGTCTGTTTCTGCGGAAAGAGTTTTGGGTTTTGTCCAAAAGATATTTTAATGCTCACGATTTGCGACGCCCTTATTTGTATGTGGGTCCTTTTCACTTCGCTACTTCCCGCGACTTATCTGACTTTTCGATATCTCTCTTTCAAAACTGTGTCTTCTTCAGACAGCAATCACTTTACTACTATTTTACCTTTTTATATACGTACAAAATTGGTTTACTGATTGTTTTTTACTTACTCTTTTACCTTCAATACTTACTATTTTACCTTTTTATATACGTACAAAACTAGTTTACTGATTGTTTTATACTTACTATTTTACCTTCAATACTTGCTATTTTACCTTTTTACAGATATTTTAGTGATTTTAGAAGAAGAAAAAGCAAAGTCAAAGCTATACAAAATTATTACTGATTGTTTTACATTCTGAAAATTTTTAAATTAATTCATATTAACTCATTAAGTATCATTCTAAATGTATTATTTATTAATATGCTGGCTAGTTTTAAATAAATTCCGTTGTGTTAAGTATTTATTTTTGGGTACAATTTTTTTGCCCCCAAAAATGTATTACAGTATTAGTTTGCAATTTCTTTTCTACTTCATAGTATGCAGGTCAATTATTATTATTAGTTTTTCATAAAAGTTCATATAAGTCGATACAGTTTATTAAAAGATAACCTCAAAAAAGAAAAATGAAAAAAAAAACACTAATCATTAATCCGGCGTGGATTCATCATACCACCAAGCCATAGATCAAAGATGCGTTAAAACATTATTCTGCGTCCTTAACTTAGTGTTAAGTAAACTAGTTAATTATTTATGTATATTGTGAGTCAAACCCACAATGCACCAGCACGCTTAAGCATAGGAATCAAGGATCCATTAAGATGTAGACTCATGACCTCGTTGGCTCCACCGACCAACTCTCCTCCGATGAAAACCGCCGGCACTGCCGGGCTACAACCTATCCTCAACAACGCCTGCTCAATCTCCCTCCCTCTAGATATCTCATCCAGCTCATAAACCGCTGGATTCGCTCCGAAATCGCAGAGCAAAGTTTTGATCGTGTGAGACATACAACACAAGCTCTTGCTGTATATCACCACCGGTCTCTCCATCACCATCTTCGTTACCATCTCCATTGCTCTTTTATATGGTGTATATATATATGATCCAACAGCTTCTTGATTGCGTCGTTTAATTTCTTAAATAGGTATACGAATCAAAAAGTTTGTAGAGATTTAAGGCAAAAGTATATAAAAACTCTTGATCCTACTTGGAGAAGTAAAGGGTTTTGTGTAATGTTGTGTGGATATGAAATATGTGAGAAGTGTTTGTTTATATAGAGATGATGATTATTGGATTAGATTGGCAAAGATGTTTGGATTTTGTTTCTAACGATATCGTGTCCGAAAGCGACACCACTTCAATTTTATTTTTGGATCACAATGTAAAGTATATAGTGCGAATCTAATGATCTTTTGAACTTATCTTTTCAATTCATTGTAATTTTATTGTTCGGTTAGGCATTTAGACATACTTATTATAGTCATGGCTAAAAGGTGAGAATGTCCTTCGTACGTACGGTTTCCATAAAGCGATCTATAGTCGATCTAGCTCAAGTCATATTTCAAACCTCAATGATTAAATAATTAGCGAGACGTATAAATTTATACTCTTTTATTAATTCGATTAAGTTAATATTCTAGCTAGGATCCTCCCATTATCTTAATTAAGTATTATATATGCCATGATATTGTTATAGAAGTTTGAAGTTCTAACTTGGATTTTTTTTTTTTTTTTTTTATAGATAATATAAAGTTGAATTTCTTGCATATGCATCTTCTTTCATATGATTCTCTCTCTCTTTCTCTCTAAATTAAAACAAGAATATGTAAAGCCTATCAGGAGGCATCTTATGAGTTGGAGAAATAGTTATCCAAAATCGAGGCTCTTCTTTTCTTTAGGCCACGTCCCCTTCTTCTACGTGGGAATTATATTCTCGACTCGCCACTTCCACATTTTGCAACTCACAAAACAAAAACAAAAAAACTTTTTGTAATAATTGTAAGTGAGGGGAAGAGAGAAAGAGAGAAAGATTCTACATATGAGCTAAGCACATTTGCTTTCATAGTGACTAACGAATTATAAGGACAACGAATCGAGAATACGTATGAAAGTAAAGACACATAATTAAATGCCCTCGAGGTCCCCTTTTTCCCCGGGCAACATACGGTTTGATTAATCTTTCATTTCGCTAATCATGGTTTATTGGTTATCTAGCTAAACATCCAATATTCTAAACGTTTTCATATAATGTATACATGTGTGTATTTGTTTTTTGGTAGTGAATTATACGTAGATCGATCGGCAGAACTATATATACGTACCGATCACTAGGTTAGACCCATGATCTTTACGATGTGAGTAAACGTTGCATCAGACACTATACCAAGATCATATTTAATATGCATATATTCTCACTAGACCATGTCGTATTATGGTCCCATAATGTCGGATAAGACGCGTGACCTAGACGGTACGGTCCATTGCAACAGGCCAAACATTTTAAGATTAATCACATATATAAAATATTGGTGGTCTCGACTCTCAACAATTTATTACAGAAGGAGACAACTGGTATGTGATAATTTTCTAAATAGTTAAATTTGTTTTGAATAGGGCTCATGTCACTGCAAAGCTGGTTATCAAGATGCAAACATGGTGCTAAATTATTTTGTACCCTATGTATTGTCATCCTAAGAATTTCAACAATAATATAGATAAAGAAAAATAAATAATTAAATCCTGCAAACACACTATTGTCATCCATGATTTTTTAAGATTTAACTTGAAAAGTATTTCGCCTTTTTATGATTCCATCGATCGAATCCTTGGTTGGAATGTATTGATGGCTACAAGCACGTGAAAAGAACAATTAATTTATCCAATATATAAAAGAACATTTCTTTTTCTATACTGCTCCTTTCTAGACTCGCTTACATATTCACAATACGATAATTATTAGATTCGGTGATGGTTGCATGTACGACTCTTGGACCTCATACGTTGGCCTGCTAGAAGACCAATGGCCAAATTTGGGTTCATGCATGCACGGTGGAAATGTCGACAATGTTTTTATTCTTAGTTTGAAAGTTATTTATCACCCATATATAGGCCATACATATACGTAATTGATGCGATCTACGTATCGTGCTGTAAACTATTCTGTAGCTCTATTACGTATTTATACATGAATACTAATGATCTTCGACAAAGTCCAAAAGATGTTGGTTTAAGAGAACTAGACCATTGATGACTTAAGTTTAGAAGGACCAAAATCATTGATTGCACATAAATAGTTTAACTAATTTAGTAAATTCTAAGAGTATTCTTGTTCTTATATATTGGAAGTATATATATATATATATATATATACAAAGGAAAAAGTGTACTCTAAAGGAGAAAATATATGGAGATTATTATATATGCCTTTGTGTGTAATATGATTTGTTTATTATAAAATAATAGTAGGAAAAGAATGTCAACTTTGTATACTAAATAATACAATGTATTAGATGTATAAAGGTGGTGTTTTATCTGCCATGCAATTTGAATCAATCGTGAACAATCTATATATAGAATAGAATATATGCTATATTATGTTTTTGTAATACAATATATGATTTAAATGTATGCACACTTTATATTCTTTTTAAAATTGTATATAGGTTAACTAGTGAAGTAAGTCATATACTAATAAGTAATAACCACCGTCGAGGAGGATGATATATAAGAATCAAAGATCGCGAGGACGGTTCGTGGCATCACATATCACCGTGTACTATCGACCGTACTCGACCGTACGTCGTGTGGTTGCAGCATCAGTTACATACGTTTATCAATTTACACTACAAAAAAAAGGTTGTATAACATCATTTATTTTTAATATTTGTATTAGTTATAAATGATGCAAAAATCTTTTGCATCGCTTTAACAAATAATTTTAAATGTGTTGATGCAAATAATTTACATCATTTAGTTGATAACCGATGCCAATATACAAAATATTTACATCAATTAATATAATTGATATGAATATATGTCATTTTTTAAAAATGATGTTAATTGTTACGTCAATTTAATTAAGTGATGTTAGTATTAGTGTCGATTAAAATAAGTGATGTAAATTATTTATATCAATTAGAAAACTGTCGATGCCATAATTAACATAATTAATTCAAAATAAATAAATCTCATTTTTAATATATTTCGAATTATGATTCATTTGTAATTATTTTTAATATAGCAAGATACTCTCCTAAATTTACTCGTTGCAATATCTATTTAAATCTTATTATGTTTTTATAAATGACATCAAATGAGCAATAAATCTTTGTTTACAACCGAAAAATCACAATTGGGTTTTGATCTTAGTTTCTTCATCTTCTTTCTTTTCCATGCTTTTTGCTTCCATTTTTTTTCCTTCTTGAAAACTTCAATTCTTATTATATGCCATCTATCTGCCATAAGTGAAATAAAGATCATGATTTAGTTATGACTTGCAATCCATTGAATCATCATAGAAATTTTGCTCTATAAAAATTTTGATTTAAAAAAACTAAAACAATAATTGTATGAAAATTTATAGAAAGTTTTGGTTAGAATCAGAATAACCAAGTATATTTAACATAAATTAAGTGATGGAGTACCTTTATTTTACGTTTTCCAACCTTTACAGAAAAACACACAACTCCAAATAATCTTCCAGTTCTCACAGTTTTAAGAGAATATAAGAAAAAAAAACTAAGCGATAGTTAGGAAGACCAGAAAAGAAGCTAATTGAAAATATTCTACAAACATATTTTGGAGATAATATAGCAAAACAAAAAGCCAAAAAAAGGAAGGTGGGCGTGGAATAAGGATTATGGGGGATTATGGGTGAGGAAAAACTATAATTCATTGTTGATTTTGAAGAAAAATCGAAATTAATTATAAAAGATAAATCGAATATGGTTATTTCATTTCAATTAGTTTCTAATAATTAAAATAAAATTCAATTAGTTTTTTAATAATTAAAATATATAAATTTAGCATCACATTTAATTGATGTAAATTTTATATCATTTTTAAAAGTGATGTTAATAAAATTACGTGAATACATCGGTTATCTTAATTGATTTAAATATATATTCTGAATCAATTTTTCTAAGTGATGCAAACTGGTACAAATTTGTATCAATTTTAATGAACTGATTTTAAATAAATTAATTAACACATCATTTATTACATTTGATGTTAAATTATTTATTTTGTGTCATTTGCTAATAAGTAATTTAAACTACTATCATTTATATTTTTGATGCTATTTAATTGATGTAAGATAAGCCTTTTTTTGTAGTGTTACTAATAAAAATATAATTTCCCAATAACATATGAGTTAGATGCTGGAAAGGTTAATTGAAGAACATATTCATCTTTTACATATATATTAGTTTCCTTTGTTTCTACATCTTACTCGAAGGTACGTATGAGATTGATAAAGATGAGTTTGGCGTCGTCAGCTGAAATACTGCTCCAACCCGCTGCAGAGAAACGCGTGTTCCCACAAAAAAAACGATTCCGAATCATATTCCTCATTTTTTTGTTTCATGCCCCAAACTAAAAATTCGAGTTTTTAAAGAAAAAATAAAAACTGAATTCCCCTTTTTTGGCGTCAAACAAATTCACCTTTTGAGATATAAAACTTTAGATTCATTTGCACCTAAAGCATTGGATAAACATATATACTTCTGGCTCTATAGTCATCCCAAAGGGCAATATCAGTATTTAGAATTTTAAATTTATATGTATATAACACCGACGATTGGAATATGAAAAAAGAGAATAACATCTAGAAAAATGTAGTCCATCATCATCGAACCAGATAAGAAGCATATGTCTGATCCTGGTTATATAACACTAACACCAACAGGCAACAGCAATGCGCATGCATATTTTATCGTTAAAACTCTAATAAAAATAAAATGTGCATGCAAAAATCAAATTTTTGGACCTAATAACTTCATTTTATTTACTAATACAAAAAAAGGCTTTCCTTTAATTTAATTTAACGGTCATTACTCATTACAAACAACTAATACGTACACCACAAAGTACTTTTACGGTTTTACCTCATAAGCTTGATCATATTCTAATTAAGCTTTCCATATAAGTGCATTTGGAGGCAGCGAAACGAGCGTCTTCATATTCAAACGTTGAGCCGTAAGCCCCTAATCATATTATAATTAAGCTTTCCATA